CCTCCCTCATGAGCCCTTGATAATTTATAAATTATTATTTTGTCATATCTTGCACTGTCTGCATTAATTTTTAATGATGCTGCTGAACTCTTTTGCATTTCCCTATAATGATTGATGATGATGATGTGCTTATAACTATATGTATGTCCTCTTTGAAGAAATGTTCCTATAAATTCTATGTCCATTTTTGAAATTGGGTTATTCATTATTTTACAGATATGTGATATTCAGACTATCTTTAGTCTGAATGTTATCTTTGCATTTTCTGTCTTTCTAAATTTATTTTCTTGATAGCGTTCTTTGATGGACAAATGTCTAAAATTTTGACTCAGCCCAGCTTGTCAATATTCTTTTTTATTGCTTGTGGTTTTGGTGTTGTAAGAAGTCATTGTCTAATCTAAGACTGCGCAGCCTGTGTTTTTCTCTAAGAGTTTTATAGCTTTACCCATTGCATTTATGCTTATGATCCATTTTGATTTAAATTTGGTGTAAGGTGTGAGGTAGGGTCCAACTGCATGTTTTTTGCATGTAGCTGTCTTCTCGTTCCAGCACCATTTGTTGAAAAGATTATTCTTTTCCTATTGAATTATTTTGCCTCCTTTGTTGAAAAATGGAATTGAAAGATAATGGCATTTTTTCCATAAACATTTTTTCCATAAACTTTGCAGCTCCCTCACATAGCTCCCTTAATATAACATAAACGCCTAGTTTTAAAGAGTAGCTCCTTATTACCAGTGAGAGAGTATAGTGAACACTACCCTAAGCAACAGCCCTACTCACTGTTAGTTGTAATAATTTACTGCAGGTCTGAACTATGGAAGATGGTTGAGAACCTAATAATCATGTATTAGAATAAAATTATAGACATTTTCAGCGAGCAAATGACAACCTCTTTGTAGCAAGTGTATCTATTTCAATGTAACAGTGAAATTTTTATGAGCCTGAAACGTCTTAATTAAGACCTTGGCCCAAATGAGTGTTTCTCGCTTCGAGTGTAGATTTTTCCTGTGAGGGACAAGTCTGTGTGCTACAGCTTCTCTTTCCTCTCGGCGTTTTCTTTAAGTGAGCTACTGGGTTTCTGAAAGTAATCTTCTGAGGATAAATCTTTCAATATGTTCCATTAAGATACTTTTACTCAGAAAATCAGCTATGATGTGCTAACAGGTGTGAGTATTAAACTTGCCTTTTTTATTTCTTGGAAATGAGACTTTCCAACAACTTGTTAAAAAACTAGAGTTTTTTTGAACACCTGTTCCATATGTGCATACGTTGTTTAGAAGTATTCTGGTCTAGTTTGATTTTCTTCCAGAAAATGAAGATGTCATTAAGAAATTTTAAAACAACACACACCTAACACAGATAACATAAAGGTTTAGCGGAAGTATATAGCACTTAAACAATTTCATCTTTCAAAGATTTCTCTTTGTCCAAAATGCTCATGTATGTGTGGAATTGTGAGTGCAAGTGTGTGTGTGTTTCAAAGTGAAGCCATAACTCTATTACTGTTTTTTAATAGTGTTCACTAACCACTGTATTCTTTGTTCTAGGTCAAAGAAAAGGCAGATGTCCTGAACCCATTAATCACTGCAGTGTTTCTCGAGGTTAGTGGAAGCCTTTAAGTGTTTGACTCCTAAAATAAAGCATCATGTATTGATGAACTATTCCTACATCGTTAGTCTCTGGCTTTCCCCCCCAACAAATTGGTAGATTAGCCATTTTGACACAGACATGATCACAATGTGTGTATTTGCACCCCTTTTCATTAATTCTAAGCTGCAAGATAAACTGGAAATGAAGATGCAGTCAGCTGTCACTATTTAGCATTATCCCTTGGCTGCGTAGCGGACAGTTCTTAGTAATGAAACACCTTCTGGAAGCCAGCTGGTAAACATGAAAGGCTGAAAATTACAAACAGGCAAGCACTGATTCCTAAGGATTAATGATTACATAAGGGATTGGTTAAAAAAAAGACAAAATGTTTTGTCATTTCCTTGGCAAGAATTCCTTTGTTTTGCCAAAAAGGTAGCTGTGTTTATATCATTTTTATCAGTTTATGAGATTTAGGGAGGTGGAATGTGGGGGAGCCGGAAGGTTCCATGGTAAGTTACATTGCTTCCCTGTGTGGATGTTTTCTGGATCTTAAGTCTTAAGAACTCATCTTGTAAATGAATTTTCCACATGATTTACACTTGATAACCTACTTGAACATA